GATCAGGGCAAGAATATAAGGATACTTTATTGTTATGCAAATACGAAAGGTTAGCAAATGTAACACCCATCTACAAGAACAGCCAGAAGAAGGATCTGGTGAACTACAGATCTGCCAGTCTGACTTCAGTGCCAGTGAAGGTCATGGAGCAGATCATCTTGAGTGCCATCATGCAGCACATAGATGACAACCAGGGCATCAGGCCCAGTCAGCAGGGGTTTATGAAAGGCAGGTCCTGCTTGACCAACCTGATCTCCTTCTATGACAAGACTTACTGAACAAGGGAAAGGCTGTGGATGCTGTCTGCCTGGACTTAAGTAAAGCCTTTGATACCATTTCCCACAGCATTCTCCTGGTGAAACTGGCTGCTCAAGGCTTGGATGGGTGCACTAGACTAAAAACTGGTTGGACGGCCTAGCCTAGAGAGTGGTAGTGAATGGAGTTACATCCATCTGGTGCCTGGTCACAAGGGCTCAGTATTGGGGACAGCTCTTGATGAGCAGACTGAAGGCATACTCAGTTTGCAGATGACAGGAGCGCTGACCTGCTAAAGGAAGGCCCTACAGAGGGCTCAATTGATGGGTGGAGGTCAATGGTATGAGGTTCAACAAGGCCAACTGTTGGGTCTTGCCCTTGGGTCCCAACAACCCCATGCATGCCCCGTACAGGCTTAGGGTAGTGTGGCTGGAAAGTTGCTCAGAGGAAAAGGACCTGGGGGTACTGGTTAACAGCCAGCTGAACATGAGCCAGCAGTGTGCCCAGGTGGCCAAGAAGGCCAACAGTATCTTGGCTTGTATCAGAAATAGTGTGGCCAGCAGGATCAGGGCAGTGATCGTCCCCCTGTACTCAGCACTGGTGAGGCCATACCTTGAATCCTGTGTCCATTTTTGGGCTCTTCACTACAAGAAAGACATTGAGGTGCTGGAGCATGTCCAGAGAAGGGCAATTGGGGAAAGGTCCAGAGCACAAGTCCTGTGAGGAGCAGCTAGTGGAACTGGGGTTGTTTATCACTCTCTACAACTGCCTGAAAGAAAGCTGTAGCCAGGTGGAGGTTGGTCTGTTCTCCCAGGTAACAAGCAATAGGACAAGGCCTCAAGTCATGCCAGGGGAGGTTTAGATTAGATATTAGGAAAAATTTCTTCATGGAAAGGGTTGTCAAGCATTGGAACAGGCTACTCAGGGAAGTAGTTTAGTGACCATCCCCAGAGGTATTTAAAAGATGCGTAGAGGTGGTGCTTAAGTACATGGTTTAGTAGTGGATTTATACTTTCTCCATTCTGTTCTTTAGGTACAAGTTTAAAATAAATTTTGGTTCCTTGTGCAGACTGTAAACAAATGACATTTTAGGCTCCTGCACATGATTATATTCAGTACACATCTATTTCTTGAAAATTAATCATTATTTTGTAGCTTTTTACTAGTTGATGTAACTTATTTCGACTCAAGAAAAGCTAGTATCTCTAACGATAATTGGTTTTCTCTCTCCATTTTCACTTCAGCAATATGAAGCACAATGAACTTCACTTTCAAACCATTTTATGCTTATCTAAACAGAAATTACAATAAGTATTGCAATATGGGACTAATTGAATTAATAATTTATTCTAACCTTACAAACTTGCCACCGGCTGCCGCAAGAGAGGAGCTCCGAAGAAAAGATACAAGGACTCCCTGAAGCAACAACTCAGCCTCGGGCATATTGATCACCATAACTGGTCTACTCTGGCCTCTAATCGGGAGGCCTGGAGACAGTCCATTTATATCGCTGCTGATGCTTTTGGGAAAGCGCGCAGGATCAGTCTTGAGGAGAAAAGACAACGCAGAAAGAACCGAGCCATGCAGAATTTACCATCTAAGGAGTCTTTCTGCTGTGTCTTTTGCAACCGGACTTGCCTTTCTCGTATTGGCCTTTTTAGCCACCAACGCGCTTGCAAGAAACGTGGGTAGAGCCCTTCCCAAATCTTCGTTCGCGAAGCCTAGCCATGATGACTGACTACAAACACACTCTTAGCCAAACAACAGAACTTATTTAGCTTACTGGAATTTATCGTCAGTCTAAAAACTCTATGCAAACATCAAACATCTATATTACTAAGAACAGTAAAATTCAAGAGCAGAGTTCCATTAGGACTTTAAACACCAAATTCCTGTTCTTTGAATAACAAGCTAGAGCTTTGCTTATACTTAGATCAATTAAAATATTCTCACAGATGTTGCTGTCTCTTAGCAAAGGACCACAAGATGAACTGAAATCAATGAACTCCATGAATGACATTAAACAGACTTCTACATCTCTCTTGCTCAGGGAGTTTATATATTGGCAGAAAGAAAAAAATACTAAATATGGTATTTGTTAAACTTTTCCCTCAAAATGGTATTTAAACCCACACCTGATGAACTCGGAGTGCTCTTCTAATGGAGATCTGCTACACACACTTGCACCAAGTGCATTACATCTGCCACCGAAAACTTTGCAATATATAGTACAGGCAGTCTCTGCATGCAGAGCAGGCCTCTTGTCTCCCAGTGGTGTCAGCTTCTGTGCATGCACTACACAGCAGATGCCCACTGGTAGTTTTGCAGATTTCCCAATTTCCCAATAGCTTCCAAAAAAAGAAGATTCAGCAAAAGGAAACATGATGAGAAAATCACAGAACTTTCTCCCACACAATCATTCTACTTAAACCCCAACAAAACAGGCTATGGGCCAGAAAATTGTTCTGAAGATGGTAGTACAACTCACATATCATCTTTCCCAGGGCCTTTTGGCCTCTTTTTGGAAAATGATGTATTTTAGTCACATAATGGAGAAAGTTTTGTTCAGCTGGGAAAGACAATAAAGAGGAACAACCCGTTGCTAGTATTAGTATAATTTATCATGTCTAAAGTCAGTTTTCTACATGTTGCCAAAGGCCTTGAGGAACTAAAGAAATGACCATCTATTAACTGCATCAAGCAGTTAATAGATTAATGTGGTACATTATTAAAAAAAAATCAATTTCAGTATCAAACAGTTACTGACCTGGAAAATAAGGCAATGAAAAATACCTGTTTGCTAATAGAAACTGAAGTTCTTTATGTTACCTTCAAAAGAAAATAAAATACCTTTCCCATGTAACACTGTCATATCCTCAAATTTTGAGCAGTTCTGCAGGATGTAGCCTACCCATTATATCAAACCTAACACATATAGTGTCAACAAATTGCGAAATGAGAATTAAAATACAAGCCAGTTTTTCAGAGGCACAGCATTTTCAACACCAAGATGTGTATATTGAACTTTCTATCAGTGCTATTTACGATAATATGGCCATACTATAATCACTATAAGCACAGCTACTGCTCATATTCCTTTATATTGCCTTTCTGGTTCCAGATACCTTCAGGGATTCAAGTGTCTGGAAGGAAAGACCTATACCTATATAATGTTATCTATTGGATACATTTTTCTCACTATCTCCACAAAAGTTAACAAAAGATTCTATCCTGTATGTGGCAAATAATGAGGCAAATAACAGAACACGCACACACTCACCTACTCTACCTTCCAGATGCCACAGAATCCTAGAGTAGTCCTGTGGTTTTCACCAGCACAAGACACCCTTTCACCTTTCTTTTTATGTTACATTGATAAAGTCAGAAAGATCTGTAAATTGAAGAAGGAAATAAGGAGGTAACGCAGCCAGAGACTAATTATGGCCTTCACTGAAATCCATGGATTAATTCTGGAAACAGCAACAGATTCTATGAAGACTGCAAGCCTACAGTCACAAACACTGTGACCTTTCAAACACAAAGAACTAATTGACCCACTGTGACACCTGAGTGATCCAGCCCATTATTTCTTCTTTCTTGTAAAACAAACGCATGTATCAAACTTAAAACTACTAAAAAAAGAAAAGGGAATTATGTATTAATTCACAATTAATTAAGCAGAATAAAAACTTTTTTATGATGAGCACAGTCAAGCACTGGAACAGGCTGTCCAGAGATGTTGTAGAGTCTCCACCTCTAGATGTAGTTAAAACTCATTCACAACAACTTGCTATAGCTGATTTTTTTGAGCAACAGGTTGAGCTAGGTATCTCCAGCACTCCTCTCCAATCTCAGCTATTCTGTGATTCTATGAAAACTATAGTAAGGAAGCAACAGAAATATATACAGAAAAAAAGAGTACCATGTGTTTTCTTGATTTTTAGATTAAGGTCCAACCTGAAAAAAAATATTTTTTCCAGAATTTGTAAACATAAGAATGCTGACCTATTCAGAAGTTACAGATTTCCCATGCTGTGATCCCACATAGAGTTCCATATAGCAAAAATTGGGAAAAAATACTTAAATTCATGACTACTTTTTAAGCATCTTACACTGAAAGATTGAAAAATGGCAGAAAAGAGACTTTAAATTCATTTTCTTCAACAATGTCCCTCCTTTCAGAATTAGTGCTTCCAGGAAAGGGAGGAAGCAGTGAGCATCAAGCCTTCTACATTACAATTTAAAATACAATATGGTCTAGTGGAAATTTACAATCAGATCCTCTGAAGAGATTACAAATTCACATTGCATAAGCTATTTGTAGCTCGTTAGTCTCGAATAAAATCCACTGAGGTTAAAACTCTGATACGGCTAAGAAAAAGAAGACCCAGATGAAAGACAACGAAGCCGATTCTGTTCTTTCTGCATAAATACATGCAGAACCTGCAATTGTAGGAAACCAAATTAATTACTTTAAGCACCTGAAGCTTTTGACATTTCATGGGATTTTAATGCAGTTGGCCGTTTATTCACACATATTTATTGTCTTCATTACATTTCTCCTGAAAGTTTTAAGTTAAAACTTATGAACCTTCACACAGCTGCTAGATACTTTAGCTTCAAATATAGAGAACAGTTTCAATAGAAAGACTATAGAGAGACTATAGAGAGACTAATCTATGTTTGATTGTGTATTACACTTACAATAAAAAAATCAGAAAATACACATAATTTTTTGCAGTTACCCAGTAGTTCCATTGCATCATCTTCATTGTCAATATCTTCTTCAGTTACAGATGGAGCTGTGCTTTGAGCAGAATCAAAGGAGTCCTGAGAAAGCATGGCAGCCAGCAGTTTCTTATGTTGCTGCTGTTGATGTTTTAGTCCTTTGGTCTTTGGCTCCATTTTTAAGCTGTGAGAGAGGAAAGCACAACTTTCTCTTACTGGTGCTCTCTTCAAAATTTGTCACAATTTTGTCAAATTACTGTAGTCCATGATGTCTTCCAGATCTGAAGGTTAACACCATCAGATCACACATAAACCAACTGGTTATCACTCATTCCTTAGTCACTGGATGTTCTAAGTCAGTTTGTGTTTGCAGTTCCTATTTAAAGTCTTGATTGAATTTGGTAGATTTCCCACTGACTTTATGTGCATTAATCAGGTCTAAATAAGCTACATATATAAAGCAACATGACATCAATTACTAATCAGTATTGCTAAGGCATTGATCGCATAGCAACAAAGTTGACAACAAAGAACTTCTCCCTTGAGTGGCTATGTTACCATGACCCCACAGAATTAAGGGCTATATATTTATAACAATTCTCATGATTTGCTGAGTTGTATCCCTAACCTAAATAACAGAGAACTGGAAATGCACAGAAGTTAGCAGAACAGTCTAAGGCAGGACTTGCTACCATTTGCCATTTCTGATTTCTTACAATATAAAAACAACAAACAGAAGTTTGGTGCTCCACATGAGAGTATCAACACCACCTCAGATTGTCATTATAGTCTGTTGCAGGAAGGCCCATCTGTTGCCAAGGCTCTAAGAGAAAAGAGTATCATATTAAAAACCACTCAAATTCCCCACTGTGTACATACATTATCCCTTGAGGAAGATTCCCAAGAGCCTTGCATCTTCTCAGAATTCATCCAAAAAATTTTTCATGTAGAAAACTACCAACTGTGACTTGAAAATGAGTTTAATCCTATTTTCACAGTGTTTGAATTTCTGAAACATGAGCTCAGTACCAGCAGGATTGCCATCAGCACTTTTCCATGGTCTCTTATCACTTACTAATATCTTGCCTTGCTTCCTTACAGGAGCAACAGAAAGCAGTGCAAAACCAGTAACAAACACAGTCTTTCCTCTGTAGTAATCCAGAACATAAGGGCAAAAAGGTGACCCTTCATCCATTTGACAAGACATCACTAATATGGCAACTCAGACTGGCCACACTGTCTTTTCCAGGCAAAACATTAGTGATATCTGTCCTTCCAGTTGCTCCTTTTTTTTATTTCTTTTCTTGAGTAACTGAACCTGGCTTTCAAATATACAACATGTCTGCTTCTGTTGCTCATCATCACAGGAATGTATGTTTTTAAGGAGGAAATAGTGGTTCTTTCCCACTGTGCACTACTGAATAGAGCAAAAACCAGGATCATGGTTGCAAAGACAGAAAATCAGACAACTTACAGATTCCCAAATACTACATACTACGTATATTCGCTATGATCTGCTTTATGCTGAAAAGACGAATACTGTAAATGAGCATGTTATCAACATGTTATCAACAGATCCATAGGAATATGCTGCTTCCTCAGTCCATTCCATCCTTTACAGAATGCAATGAATGTGTAAGGACCCAGGGCTTCCCCAAAAAGCTTGTACTCTATGGTCTGTGAAAACAACACGAGTCACGTGACACTGATGGCAGTTACTTGACCAGTGATCTGCCAATGCCTAATCCTCTGGATATTTACATAATGTTTTATTTTTGTAGCATTTTCTTATGTTTAGTAACAGGTAAGAGAAAACATTATCTGGAAATAATGGGACAATTTCAGTTTTCACTTTCTTGTTCTTATACTTTAACTGATTATTAGGATTAGTTTAAAGAATTTGCTGGCTTATCACATAAATCTTGATAAATAGTGATCCTTAAATGATCATTTTTTATTTAAAGTGTTGCTACATAAAATTTAACAAGACATAATTGGAAACATTTAATGTGAATTTCCAATTGCTCCCACTTTCATTTGCCAGGTAAAAGTATAAATGAATTATTTTAGGCTACATTAACCACTAAGTGGTGAATGAAATACAGACGAGGTAGTCAAAAATTCTTTACAACTGACAACTTCACTCATTTCACTTAATCCCACTATTTTTGGATGTTACATTAAAATAAAGTTATTGTTATCTAATACTTGTCTCACGCGTTTGGTATACGCTCAATTCCAAATTCTGCTAATAGCACTTTAATTCACAGGAATACTGCATTAGACCTTGAAGCAACTGCCAGTAATTAGTGAACTATTATTAAATATTCAGATTAACCTTGATCAACACAGGTCTTTTAAACTTCCATATATAGTTGGCATCAATCTTAGTATCACCACTACCTTGAAGTTCTGCAACTTTATTTATTCTTTTGCAAGACTGTAAACATGTTTTTTATAAATGCCTTCCAAAAGCTGATTAAATGCTAATGAAACAAGAATTATCCCAGACATAAAATCAGTCATCCAAATGTAAATCCATATGCTGTATGTAATCTAGTAGTTATTCATTTCCACTGGAAATCAGTACTCCCACGATACATATTTTTCAATAGGTCTTTAGCATTTACTGCACCTAAAAAACAGATATCAGTACCCCATGAGTTTTTCCTGGCATCAAGTACCCCATATTCTCCTTGTTCATATGCCAGGCAACACGATTTTGCCATGATACCCAACAAGACTTCTCAAATGCTATTCTCAAAGCCATTAATCATATATTTTAATTATAGCATTAGCTGTGAGGTTTCTCACATCTTGTACCACCCTCTACAAAGAGAAAAATGCGTTGCTTTGAATCATCTTTGTTACTCAGAACTAACCTCTTTGCTCCCTTCTGGAGATTAGACAGAGATGCTTATTTCTGCTCCTTCCTATTGACAGAAAGGATACAATATCCTCAATTCTCTCTGCAATGTGGAACAGATCTTTATTTGGTGTCTTTATTGACTGCTGAATAAGGAAAAAGAAACACAGGCCTGCACAATCAAGCTGCAGTGCCCACTGCTGACTCCATTACTTTCGTAGGAATTGCACTGGAGAGACCCAGTGTCTGAGTTGTGCTGGTTCCCAGTTTGGCTGAGGGATCATTACTACATGCTGCTACTTTGAAATAGTAGTACTTGCAGCTTTCCCCACAATAGTCTAATTAAATGAAGTACTCATGTATAACAAACATTACAAACATGTGAGGAAAGTTAATGAATGCAGCCTTTAAGAGTACATCTAGTGACAGACTAGTCTCCTTCTGACAGGGAGGTAAATTCCAATGGAGAAGGCACATGGACAACACAGTGAAGGAATACTTTAGATATTTCAAAATGAAAGTAGACAGTTTCTGCCTTCTCAAAAGAGGAAGAAAAAGGTGTCTGCTGCAGTCAGCGTAATAGTTATAACCAAGGAGAAATGCTACAGGGCTGAGGGAGAAACGTAGGTGTTTAAGCCAATTAACAGAGGCAGTGCACAAGATTTACACTTTAAAAGATAGGCATTAATTCCTTTTAAAGGAAAGCTGTGAGTATTTAACTTCTGTGATAAACCGGTATCTTTAAATCATGGAAAATGGACTCCTTGTAAAAATGATAATCTCTTTCATGTAGCTGAAGCACATTAACAAACAAATATACTCCTTCATTCTCAGACAAGCACAATAAATCTTCAGAAGTTATTTACTGCAGAGAACACATTTTTCTCTTTGAGAAAGACCTGTTATTGACACCAAAATGCTAGGTATATGAAAAGAAGATAAATTCAGGAAGTCCTGATAAAAATAACATAGATACTGTTTCCCTTGTCCATCTTTTCTTTAAATGAGAAAATCAGGTTTATCACTAAAGTGTCAAGAAGACTAACAAATACCAACTACCAGCTGTGGAAAGATGGAAGGGTTTGAAGTATCTGAATAAAGCTATACCTTTAAAAGCAAAATTATTACACACTGGACCCCAGTCATGTCAATAGAACCTTAGCTTTATACATGGGAATTAATTAATGTGATTGCAAATGAGTATGAAGTTAATCATATATAAAAGCATGAGAACAAATCAGTCACATATTAATGACTTCCATTTATTCTGCATGCTGCCACACTATGACATGGGAGTTGAAAAGCTCTGCACTCTGCTCTCAGAAATGGAGTTTTTGTTAAAAAGACAGCTCTGTTTCACAAAATATAATTTTTCTAGGCTGGACCAAAATCCCACCTTCCTCCAGGACTGCTGCTATCCTCACTGTCCCACTGCTCATTTTTATTTCTTGGTATTGGTGGCTGTAGCATCTCAGCAGCCAGAGGGTCTGCATCATTCTCTTCACGGCCAACCCATTCTCCAATCACACGAGGTCTGAGAAGGGGGGTGTTAAAACCTGTTGTGTCCTAAAGGGAAAAAAAATAAAAAAAACTCCAATGCACTGTTTGTTCTTAACCATAGGTGTAAATAGAGAAAGAAAACATGAAAAAAAAATTCACGAAAAAAGTACAACAATAGTACAGTACATTATCACTTCAGAGGGCTACAAAATACCCAGAAACAATGACAGACTAATGGAAAGTTTCCCATTAACAAAATTCCAGGAGATATTTGTGTATCCTGATGCCTCAAATCTCTTCCATTTCTTTCTCTTCAATTGTAACTGTAGAAAAATCACTATTTTTTTTTAAATAAATGCACAACTCTTTAAACCTGCACTGTATCAGTTCTGCTAAGCAACACATGAGGTCACTTGTATAAACAACACCCCAACCAAAAGATGTTTGTAGATTAATAACATCACTCTTATTTGCATTATGAATTAATGCAAAACTACAAAATACATCTGCATTTTGCATTTTAAAAAAATAACCCTTCTGGGCCTTACATAATGTATCTTTCAGTTCTGAAAATGGCATTTAATAAAATGCATTTATGAAACTAGTAATCATATTTTTAACCACTTACTGGAAGACAATAAGTTGGAGAGGATTACAAGAAGCAAGAAAATGTAACTGATACATTCAAAACAATAGCAATAATTTGCATAATTAGGAATTTAGATTACAGAAACAAATCATCCTTAAAAATTGTACCAAAAAGCATTCTGAAGTGGTAAATATGTCTGTTCTCAATTTTACTAAAACCACTGTAGATAAAGAGTCATGTACAAAAGCACAGTCAAACTAAAAAACAGACCTGTACACCAAAGAAAAAGATATGAAATTATGGGATAGGAATATTTATTTTACTTTTACTAAATTCTTTTCTAGGTTAGCAAAGGCATTTCAAACACACTGTTCCTAATTAGAAGAGACATATTCTATTCCTATAATTTAATGAGAGAAAATTTTAGGAAAAATATCCGTGGCTGTTATCGACCTCAGTGCCTCTAATAAGTATTTCTGCCTTGAAACAATGCTTTCCAAACAAAAAGCATCTGGAAAATGTACAGCACAGCAATTATTTAGCCTAGAAACCATATTTTTCTCTCCTTCTTGAAAATGAATCACTTTTGAAGCCTCTTCTTAATTGAAACAGATACAGTAAAAGCACAGTTTGAAGTAGAGGCCTCTACTGAAATGAAAGAAACAAAAAACCAAAAAAGGCTGTAAACTACTTTCAATATGAATATATTTACCTAGCTCTGGCTAGATGCTGCAATTTTTCTGAGCAGAATTCCAAGAGCTTCTATTTTGACAGAACCAAATGTGACCCAGGCCATGGATCCAATTCACTCAACCTTGTTCTTTTGTTCTGCTTTCTGCAATGTGCCTGTGAGTGTATTACCACATTCCTCTCTACAGAGTTGTCCATCATTTGACTAATTCACTTTTACATGGTGTCTGTTTTCTGCAAGGACCACTGAAAATTGAATACAGGCCATACAGAAGACAGAAATCTGAGGAAATCACCACAGCTTTGGAGATATCAGGATATCTAGCCAGTGCTGTTCTGTTTTTATGTACTTACAAATATACATTTTGTGCATTTATTTGGAGCTGTGTCATAGTCAGGTCAGGTAGACTAGATGACAAGAGCCTCTGGGCTCTTGACAAGCATAAACTGTCACTGGTGTGACTACCATCATATGCTTATGAGCTAAGAAAAAGGATTGCCCACAATGCCTTCATTAAGACTGCCCTCAACCTTTCTGAGTTTTATTCCTTCTATTCTAGCTATTTTCTCCCTTCTCTTTCTCCCTAAGATAATTTCTAATAATGAATTAAAAATGGTTTCTGAAAGTCAGAATATCTCAGTGTCCATCTTGCTAAAAGCTTTCAGTGCCTTAAGTGAAAATGAAAAGCACCTAAAAATGTATCCTTTTGTCAGTACCTTAAGTTTTTTCTGACACTGTACACTGCACCATCAACATATGAATAAGTAAACCATGAATGCTGTGACTGTCCTTGTTATGCTAATTTCTTTCCTAGGCATTTTAGGGATTCAAGTAGCAGTTTCATACTCTACTTAATAGAAATGTAATTTACATTACATAGTCATGCTTTGCCTCACTTTATCACCTTGCTTTACTTTTTGCATCATGTTAGATTAGTACACCACAGTTTCAGTGACCTAATTTATTGTCCTCCTTTCAACCATATAAGCAGCCACAGTGAAAATAGTAAATGGAGAATCAGAGACAGCTCTATTCAGAACACGAGGATGTTTATTTGGCACTATTTCAAAGGCTGCAATAAATTCAGATGAAGCATTCTGTTCTCTAACAAGTTCTTATAGTTTTGGGTTGGGGTTTTTTTGGCTGGTTTCTTTTTTTTACATATAAATCTTACAATCTTAATTGATTTCCAATCTATATTCCCCCATAAATAACAGAAGAGATTGGCAGTGACATTAGTGTGCACAGAAATATTTTCAGGACAGGTAGGTATTTAAATCTGCAATAAATGAAAAGAGAGCACTATTTCATGGAGCAGCCCACATGTCATCCTCTTATCTACATAACTGGCTACCAGTTTGACACACTCAACCTTCCTTTATGTGGAGACTAGGAAAAGAAGGGAAAGACTGCAAGACAGCTGAATCTCATCTTCACGTTGGACTGAGTTGTGGTTGCTGAATGCAACCTCTACCAGAGAGCGAAACATTTGTATATCCATTTATTTATGCATCATTTAAAAAGCTCGGTATTCCTATTTTCTGATATGGATTTTAAGGGAATTTCCATCATGAGAAATACTTTTGGGTGAGAAGAAATATTTTTGGTTTTATGACATAAGAACAGTTGTTTCATCTATTTTATTAATCTGTGTTCATTGAAGTAAAATTACATATGAGAAGAAAGTATACGCTAGACAGTACAGAATATTTTTTTAATATTAACATTGAGGGTCAAAATCTGTTATAAATTTTTAGATCTTCCCTTGAGTTTGTCTGTGGATCTCTAACACTTAGATGTCTCCCATTATTAATGTTTAAAGTGATTGAAAGACATCATTGGGTATTTCAGATAAATTTCACAACGTTATAGCAGGTCTCTCCCATCACTGTTTTTTGTAAGAATTTTTTTTCACCCTAGAATTCTGTGAATTTTAAAGAAAGGCTAACATCCTAGCTCTCCTTTGTTTACATTAAACTCTTCACATTATGCATAAGTGTGTAGTTTCCTAAAGCTCTTCAACAGTTTCTGTTCAGTGGTACGGAGGGTGAGTCAATTCAGAAATTTGTATTATATTAACTCTGCACTTTAGTTTTAAAATATGTGAGTCACAAAGCATCCTTTCTTATTTCCTTTCCTTACACAGTATACTTGAGTGCCACTCTCTGATTTTATATAGCTTCTATGGCCTAGAGATGCAGGCTGAGTCAAGAGAGAGAGAACAACACTGCAAGTCTGAAGTAATTGAGATGAAAAAGAAGGGAATCTATCCAATAAATCTGTTTTAATTGCAGCCATTATAGGATTTTTTTTTTGCAAGGTTACCAGTGGACTTATGAGTTTTATGAGACTAAGTCAAACTGAAAGATTCCACTTTGACTGAAAGACTGACCTTGTCTGTCTGTATTTTCTCTCTCTCAGACTAAAGCCCTAAGTACCGACACAAAGCTATTAAAGGCAGATATTTTACACGAGTCCATTTAAATGAAACACCGTTCTTCAAAAGTCATTGTAATTCAGAGCAAACTGGTTTTCCAAATCCAAATGCTCGAGGAACTAAGCAACTAACTAACTAACTGAATTACTTGGAATAAGACTTACCTCAACCAACAATACTGATTAAGTACTCCCCTAATGAAGGCAGCTGCGTTACTAAAGCCAGAAAGAAGTAATTTAAAAAAATATACAATGAGAAAAAAAATAGAGGAATATACACATATATTCTCTGTTTTCTCCAGGTTTATAATATAAACCACAGATAAAGCATCAGGATTATGGGCTCTGTCCTAGTCCCCCAGATATTCCTGATCATCAGGAAAATAAAGCAAAGGAGAGCGTATAGAAGTTTATTACTGTGTTTAGTTTTATGTCTCTCATAATACCTAAGCAATGGCAATGTTTTAACACAATCCAATGCCAAGTTTGACCATGCTATTGTAGACCCATGACATGCACCTGATCGGTTAAATGGTTAATCCAAACCACAGATGAATGTGGTTTCAAAAAATGATTCAGTGCTGCCACAGCCTAGACAAGGAAGTTCTACTATCAGCATTTATTTCTGGGATAAGAATTACAACTTGGCTACATTTATACCTGAAAAATAAACATCACCTGTGAGCACATTCAGAAGAAATAGAACCACATTCTCTTTAACTTTAAAACAACCATTATCAGGTAGTCTTTGGCTGCTTTTGGTTCAAGCCAAGAAATACATGCAGAAACAAGTCACAGGAACATTTCAGGAATTAGCTTCCTAGGAATCATTCCTAGGAGGCAGGACTCCACAAAACGGTTCTAGCTATGCTTATATTCTTAACACAGAACTAAATTTTATGTTCATTAAAAATCCCTAAGGGTCCAAACAAGAAATAATAATGAAGATCACTAAAGCCCGTGGAGATGAAAAATCACTCTTCTTCTCTAAATCTGTGCTGAAAGCCTGTTGAGCAATGCTGCACAAATAACACATGTCAAGAGCTTAATTGTTTGGGGGTTCATTTATTTTACAAATAGCTTCTGACTTCAAGAACGTTCTGTTTACCTGTCCTCATCAGAAACATACGTTAAAGTAGATGCAGTATTGCAAAGGTGTCAGGTAATGCATGCTATTGAATGTACAAACCGTAATTCCAAGTTTTGTTTCAAAAATTCAGAAATACCCAAAAGTATTTCTCATGATGGAAGGTCCCTCAAAATCCATATTAGAAAACAGGAATATCAAGCTTTTTAAATGATGTATAAATAAATGGATATACCTCTCAATTTTAAACAATTAAGTATACAGTAAACAAAAAAAAATTATCTCTTCACTCAATGTGGATCCTGAGGAAAGTCCCAAATTATGTTCCCCATCTCAGTTTTCACATTGAATAATTAAATATAAAAACCATTAATGCTTTTGAGCAATATTATTGTTATAAAAAATTAACAGAAATTACCTCCTAAAAATAGATGTAAAAAGTGTTGATAACAGGCTCTAGCCCAAAATGTCTTTTCCTCCCACAAACAGTATTTTATAGGTTTTTTCAAATCAAATGGAGTTCTTCATAAGTATTCTTAAAGGTAAGGGTTCTAATGGAAGGGCTTTCTAATAATTTTTATCATCACTTCTGAACACAGTTATGAAAATAGTAGGAAAGAAGACTTAAGTCATAGTTTTGAAAGGGTAGCCACATATGCTCATGACTACATGGTAACAGTGATCAGTCTTGTCTAACTGGCCTTCCTAGGAGAACACAGTGGAGGTATTTTATATGCACCTGTGTCAGAAAGATTTGTGTCCTCATTTTACCAGCAGAAAGGAAAAATATTTTTTTAAAAAATGTGTTCTATATTAAGCATTATTCCTGTGTGTTATGTACCTTTTGATCTCATTTCTCTGACAGCAATTGTTTCCGATACCAAGAACACAACCCAAGATTCTTGGCACTTGAAGCATACTGCTGTTCACAGGTGAGAACAGGGAAGATAAAGGTGCTCTGTTTCGTTTTGGTAATTTGAAAAATTAGCTTGATTACTCTTTCAATGTAGAGTTTATTACAGCTAAAACTAAAATTCATGTTAACTGTGTAATGCATCAAAAGGGACAGAGGAGAAGAGATCATTGTTTGTTGCATTCAGCAACGAGGTAAAGACTGATTTTTATGTCCTGTGCATTCCTGATCAAATCTGGAAGCAAAAATAATTCCTAAATATTTTCAAAAATCATATCTAGGAATGCAGGATTCATGACTTCATGAATAAAAGGTATTTAAGGCTAAATGTTTCCAAAAGTACAAAAAGTAACCCAACAGACTGCACTAAGCAAAGATGGTGTCATGATCAAAAAGTATTTCCATGGCCTCACTGAGAGTCTCTCAAACTCAGTGAGATTTTTTTTCCATACTTGACAGCCCTTTTAGGTCAAGCTCTTGATGCATCCACATATACTCTACTTACACAGCTTTCCATACCCAAACTTCCTCTGAACCCAACAGAACTGAAGTCTGTATGCCAGGACAGGGAGATGCAGCTCTCATTGCCTAAAATTATCACAATCATCTGTCTCTTTGTACTGTTCATTAGGTATACCTTATCAATCTTACCTTATCAAGTTCATCAGAAACAGCAATGCCTGAAAACGAAACAGATTGGAAAAAAAAATATTTAGAAACATGCTTTCTATAATGTCTTCTACTACAGTAAGTAAAAATAAGGTTTAATATGAAAAGTTTACATATTGTTCTCTGCATGCTGCTGTACTGTACAATGTGTCATATTTAGTTCCACTAGTGAAATTGCCTGGAAACAATATACTTTTATATCAGCTGCAATATTACCAAAATGAGTTTTAAAAAAACTATGGAAATGAAAATAGCAGATGTGCCAGTAAAGTGACAAGAAGGTTAAGTACAATTCTACCTGCTTTCTGAAATTAAATCAGCAACATTGTATTTACCAATGGACACCTTATTACGCAAATCTCACCCTGACCAGCATGCATAATACATCTTGCTGCAACTGGATGGCAATATGGACATGACTCTTCTCTCTTTCTCTGTGGTACAATGTAGAAATGATTCTATAAAAACAGGTGGAACTTTGGAACATAAAGTAAAATTTCCCAACAGAATCCAAACCAATTTTTCTAAATCCTCTGAAAAAGAACTTCTATATTTGCTCTTGTCCTTTCTGCTGATACCTGCCCATGTCTTTCCTATACTTTCTTCCATCATGTCATCTAACTCTTTTAAGTATGATAATCCTGTAGAACATTAAATATACACAGCTGGTCTCAGAATTTTTAATAGATCTGCACACGTCATATCACAAGTAGTTATCAAGTAATTATACATCTAATGCTATCATGTTGAAAATTCTGATACATTGAAAACAAAGCATTTCCCAGATTCCTATGAGGTTTGATAAGAAACATTTCCAGGTTAGAGCTTCAAAAACCAAGAATAAGTATCTCCTGGTGGTGACACTAAAGTGGAGACATAAGCATGCATAGGAAGATCACACACTTCAAAGCTGTTTTCTGACCCATGTTATCAAGACACTGTCTTCGAAGGAACACGAGATGAAATTGCAAAATATGTAGTATCAGCTGAGTGGAGAGTTAGTCTTTCTAAAATCACACTAAAGACTGAGCAGTATAAGCTTATTTCTTACTATTTGGTGTACCACAACTAACTGAATTATTTGGGTTTTTACTGTGCTTTTAATCATTAGGTCTATATGGCTAATGCTCAGTTTAAATGGCTTCCTTATAGTGATTTTTTTTCCTTAAAGAATGAAGTGTTAGGAGAACTGCAACTATAATTTAAAGACCTTGTCAACACACAAGAAATATGCCAGAAGATAATATTTCCAGTAATTCAATAGTTATAAAATAGATTATATTGAAAAAATATCTGTTTTCCCTAATCCTTTTATCCCTCACTGAAATTAACCAGTTTTAATAACTTCAGACTTTTAGTTAGCCCAGACACTACACTACTGCCCACAGAGTATAACCAGCAGGTTGCATCAACCAGACTTTAATGTTATAAATTTCTTCAATCCCCAATGGACATTTACTAGGGAGAAGATACTTGCACTCTTTGAGATAGTAAAAACCTAATTCAAGCTTCTCTTCACTTCAGCTTTGAAAAGCTGGTTACCATCAACCACCTCTCCATTACATGGATGTATTTTGCATAACCAATGTCAATCCATTCTACAATGGATTGCTTCTCAGCAATTTCCTATAATGTTAATACAGTTCATTTTGTTTTGATACAGGTTTATTTCCTCATATTGGAAGGTTGGTACCCTTTTCTTCCACTGTCACAGATCTCTGTGAATGGAGGAACTTGTAACTTGGGAGTGGAGGGAAGAGAAATTTTACCCTGCATTGACTCACTCCTTAAAAATATTTATTTTCAAGTATGGCAAAAGAAATTACAAAAGGTAACCCTGCCATTTCCAAAACTCTGTTCCAAAAAATGCCAAATATTCTTACTACTCAACTGCCTATGTTGCCTATCAAAGTTCAGTACTGAAAGTACCGAATAGCAAATGGGAAGAACAGTACATATTACTATAAGCCTCACACAAAACGCTCTACTAACCTCTCTGATTAAGTTACATATAAGCACATAAAACTGAAAAACATCCATATTTTAAATGAGTGCTTTTTTGTAAAATGCTTTTTGTTTGTATGTGTTGCAAATCACATTGCTTGCCAGAATGTAGTGGTTTGAGCCAGGTTTTCCCCCTGAAACTAAGAAAGTGGTAACCCCCAGGGGGTGGTGACCCTTGGGATTGGACCCAATCAGTGCTCCTGCAAAATATAAACATATCTCTGGAGACCAGAAAAGAAGCAGTGGTACTTGTTGTTAGAGAAGAAGAGGTGGCCTTGTTGTAGAGGCCACGAGGAGAAGGGGCTCCGGCCCCTTGGGGGCCTCTGCTCCCCCCCCCAGCCCCCGGTTGGGGGGCTGCAGGGAGTCGGAGCTGAGCTGAGTGTCTGTGGCTGAGAAGCTGGGGGAGTTTCTCCCCTGTAGGAGCACTGGGAGACGCTGGGAGCGGCAGCGGAGACAGTAGTGTCCGAAGAGCAGTGGCAAAGAGCCAACTGATAAAGACCAGAAAAGCAGCAGATGCCGGTATGCAGCTATGGAAGACACAGAGATGTCTGAGGAGAAGGAAGAAGCAGCAGCAGGAAGAGAACCGAGCCAGCAGCAGGAACAGAGTTTCGCAGGGTAAGAACTGGACAAACCAAAACCCCCAAACTTGCTAGAGACCCCTCCGAGAAAGAGGAGGGGGTGGTGGACTAAGAGGAGTCCTAAAGTGCAGTATGCACTGCTGAGAGGAGCGAAGAAGCTCTGGCCTCCTGAGAGATAAGGCAGGACGGCAAAAGGAATGTGTGTGGAGGGGGTGACCTTGGGCTTCCCCCCCTTGCTGCAGCTTCAGAGAAGCTGGCAGCCATCTTTGAGTCAGAGCATGGGAGCTCTGTGAAGGGGCTTGGATTCCCCTGAGGATACCAGACCGTCACGAAGACCCCGGTGCTTCGTGATATGACCATGGTGTAGCGGCCGTGTCTGGGGTTACGCAGCCTACGGAAAGACCCCTTGTTTGGAGACGGGGGCCGAGAGAGACTTGGAAACCTCCCTCGTGTGTGCTGGCAGAGAGCCAGCAACTGTTTCTGGTGGAAGAGGAGAGCCTGCTGCCTAGAGAGGAAGACCTGCTGCTCAGAGACTGGAAGGGGTCTTTTCTTCTTCTTCTCTCCTGGACTTTTATTTGGAGGGAGAAGAGATTTGGCCCATTGTAAATATTACTGTCATGGTAGAGATAGAAATAGAGTTAAGATAATATGTAATGTATTATAGTATAAGTATTTATTTGTATAGTCTTTGTAATATATTCCTTTCCCCCATATTGAGTCTAGTGTTTTTGTCTGGAAAACCCATCTCACATGGGGTTGAGATGTGGGAGGGGGGCTAGGAATCAGAATTGGATTTTGGGCCTTTTCAAACCATGACACAGAACTTATTCTGCATTTAGAGAAGTCTAAGCTGAGTAATTGAATTGACCAGAATGCCTCAAATTTCTTCTTTACTAAATAGGAAACAGTAGCAAGACACTAAAATTAATTGTATTTCTTAGACAAGCATGTAGAGAGTTAGCAGTTTCTGAAGACACATTGCCAAAATAAAATTTTACAAGTTTAGAAAACTTTTATTTTTGCAATCATGGAATTAAACCTGCAAACTATTTTTAGCTATCTCTCTCTAATGGGTCATCAAGAGAAAAAAAAAAGGGTTCCGGGGAAGAAATTTTATCAGGAGCTTGTTACAGCAATCTTGGCATGGTGATTCTTCTGGAGGTGGTATTTACCATACTGTCAGCCACACAGATCTTTCTGTTATGTCTTGAGCCTCATTATTATTAACAGTACTCTTTTAGTCACTGATAACACAACTCCATTAGCAGAGACCAGGATAAATAACCCATAAAACGTTGGGTGTAAAAATGCTTCTTATTTCCTTCCAAGACTCTACTGCACCACACAGTTAGTGTGTGCCCATCTCTTACCAATTTTTTTTGCAGTTGCCAAACTCACAGGATATCATGGCTGAACTTGAGAGGAGGGGAGATTTGCACTGCGGGCAGTAGACAGAAAATCATAAGAGTGAGGCAATTTTTTTGGTTGCAGATCTCAGGCGGAATAATATGGACTCCAATTTTCAGAAAGTAGCTCCTCAAAAAATTCAAACCCTTGTGTATTTAGGATAACATTAAAAAAAAACAAAACAAAAAAATAACCACAACCACCAAACCCTTAATCCAGAATGCTGAGATTGCAACTAGAGATATTGTCATTCATTATTATACAGGAGTATTTGGGATTTCTGTTAATTTCTTAGCCCTTAGCAGACTCCTGACTTTTCAGTAGTCAGATAGTCAGTTGCTTTACTTTCAAGTAATATACTGACAATTTAAAATAGTTAAATTTCTATAAAGTATTAAAATAGTTCAATTTCTAAACAGTAATGGTAATGATGGTTGCTATCTCCGGTTCATGTAATTGCTAGTATCCAGACATCAGCATTTTTCAAAAAGAAAACCCTCTTGTCACTTATTTGTAACAAGTATCTGATTTTGCTCTCTTTCCTTCGTATATTTATCTTCAGTTTTTGTCTGTGGCTTTCATACAACATAATAGAGAAAATGGAAATTTTATTTTTATATACTCTAAATAAGAAAATGTCATTGTAAAATCACAGAATACTAGAGACAAAGGGACAGCCCATTCCATGAAACTACTCTAAATGGAAACAGCAATGGCTCAGTTTTAGACAAAGCATTCACAGGTGTAGCCAAAATGTCTATACACTAAAAACTTTTAACCTGACAATTTAGTCAATTCTTCAGACTGTAACTCTTTTCCATCAAAACTTAATCCTAATCACCAAAAAAACTCTAACATCAGAAAAACTGACACATCTAGTTTATTCAACCTTAAATCCAATGGCTTTGTTAGAATGTATGTTACTATGAACAACTATTTCTGACTTTTCTCAGTTTAGAGCATTTAAAGCCTGACTCTGCACAATGATGAATGTAGAGAATGGAAGTTTTAAGGGTGTGTCA